TGTCTCTGCCCCTGGATCCTACTGTGAAACCAGCGTCCTTTCAGGATTATGTCTTAATGACTACACACTCTCCTGGTTTTTCTGCAATCTTTCTGGGTAGTTCCTTTTCAGTTCTTCTGTGGTTTTGTAGGTTTGTTGGTCTGAGAAGCACTGGTTTTCCCTTGTTTGTATACCCTGAGCCTTTTGGGGTACCACAAGGCCCAGGCAAAGGCCGCACCCATCTTGTTTTGTTTCATTCCTGGTATATCACGGTGTATGCCTGGTTATTGTACACCCTTAAGAAGTATTTGAGTATTTTGTTATGCTTTTTTTTAAAACCAGTTGTATACTTATTACTATTATATGACTTCATTTTATAATCTTGTTAGCATTATGTCCATATCATGGGGCTGTGATCACCATCATTTTGTGGCATGATCTGTTTAAAATAATTCTTCACCACCTATACAGGTGAGGCATTTGCACTAATTCCCCCCTTGGTTCCTGTTGCTGAAAGCTTTTTTTCTTGATCCCTCTCCGTTTGTGACCCTTATTACAATTGAAGGGGACATTTCCATCAGCCCCACTCTGTATTTCCAGGAACTTAGGTCACAGGAAACTGGAGTGGAAGGTCAAGGAGTCTGATGTGTCTCCATGTCTGTAGCTCAGTCCACAGGCAGGTTTCCAGAACATATTCCAGTTTCTCTTAGTGGTTCTTCTATTAAACCAACCCAATTTTAAATAAAACTGACTAATGAAAAACTGTTTTTCTTGTCAGAACATGAAGAGGAGCTGGATCGACAGTTTGCCCTGGAGATTGGCACTTTATTTGGAGGATTAAAGAAGGTACTTAGTGGATAAATGATAAAGCTTCTCAGTTTTCAAACCTGGTTTCAGTATTTTGTATTACTGTTGTATTTGGCTACTGATGAGCTGTGTATTTGTTTTTCTAAGCATTTGGATAGATTTTTATTTTTATTTTTTTATTTTGATAGATTTTTAAAATGATATAAAAACATTGCTTTCTACTGTTTTTGCTCTAAGTATTTAGTGTGCCAGATATATTTTAAGTTCAATCAGTGTTTGTGGGCTGGCTTGGGACATAAAATAATGCTTGCATTCCAAGTTCCAAACACCCAACTTAACAAATGAGCTTTTGGAAGACCATTCATTTCCAAGCTGGGCACTGCCTATTGCTGCTATTTTTCTACTGTGAGAGTTGCAGGTCTTGCTTAGAATTGCAGCAAGTTTACTTCAATTTCTATTTTGATTTTCTAGGGTAATCTGTCCCTTCTTTCCAGCTTTGGCTCTGTATGGAGCCACTGTATTAGATGGAAGGCCCATGTTCTTGTGGGACTGGGAAGAATGTCCTGTCCTGCATGGGGTGCCATTCCGGCTTTTTTTGTTCTACCCACCAGAAGTTTCCCTGAAAAGTTGGACGCAAATCGAGTTTTCATTCATTGCATCCATTTGTAACTGTTTCTGACTTAAGCCCTTTTAGGATATTAGTAAGACTGTAAGGTGGATGGTATTGTGCCCACTTCAGAGATGAGGAAATCTGGGAAACTTCCATCGGAGTGGAATTTGAGATGAGCCCTAGTGAGTGTCTAAGATCTACTCTTTAGAAATATTTCACTATTGGATCTCTTACAACAGAAAAAAATGGTGAGATCTCTCTCTCTCTCTCTTTCCCCCTCTTATAGTTACAATTCATGCATTTCAGACAATACTGAATTGTTTGCCAGGGGCAAAAATAAACAACCCATTTTGGACTAAGAGACTTCTAGCTCTTGAGAAGAGAAGCCATTGCAAGGCAGGATGAGCAGCTGAACAGAGGGTCAGGCCCCAGCAAGTTCTGGAGCTGTGGCAGATTTCATTGTCAAGGGGCAGGCTCCGTCCTGCTGTGTGTGCCACTTCCAGACAAAGGGGCCTTGTCTTTGCTCACTTCCCAGCTCCTGTCACCACTCCTTCAAGTCTAGCTGCTTGACTCCCTGCCAAGGCTGTAGAGTCCTGGGGAGATGACCTTTGCTAAGCATTCTCCCTAACAGACCCTCCCTCCACCCCCCATAACAGGGCATGAGTCAGGGGGTGTCAACATTCAGGACAACTCTGCCTTCATGAAAAAGTGCATAAAGCACAGATACATGCCCTTGGAGCTCCAAGGACTCAGTCCTTCTCCATTCTGAAAAATCTCTGTCCATGCCTCTGTTTGTCTGACCATCCATCCATCGATCTGATGCCATTGAGTACCTCTTGTCCTCATCTTTCTGTGTCTCATCCCTTGCAAATGGGGTGGGTAGTTTGGAGTCTTAGATTTAGGGGGAAAGTGAGGAGTCCTGGTAGATAGTCAGTAGGTGAGGGCAATTGATACTGTGTCCTTGGTAAAGATCATAAGACCCGGGGCCAAATGTAGTGCTAGGGAGTTTACAGATATCTGCTGAAAGTCTCATTTCAGCTAATATAGAGGCCTGATAGGTTCGGGACACTCCTTGATGTATATTTCCTTTCTTTGAGGTTATGGAAGGTGGTAAGCAAATGCTACCCTGCTCTAAATTCTAATCAAAAGAAGATATTTGGTGAGAGTAGGAATTGTGAACTTCAGAGAAGAACTTTAATGTTCTCTGACCAGTCCATGCCTTAAATGTTACAGTTGCTAAACTCAGCACTGCTGACATTTTAGACCAGATAATTCTTTGTTGTGGGGGAGCTGTTCTGTACATTGTAGGACGTTTAGCAGTCTCCCTGGGCTCTGCCTAGTGTATGCCAGCAGCATGTTCTTGTGGGACTGGGAAGAATGTCCTGCCCTGCATGGGGTGCCATTCCGGCTTTTGTTGTTCTACCCACCAGAAGTTTCCCTGAAAAGTTGGACGCAAATCGAGTTTTCATTCATTGCATCCATTTGTCCATTGCATCCATTTGATGTTCATTGCATCCATGACCCAGGTCATGACAATCAATAATGTCTTCCAGCACTGACGGGTGTCTTTGAGAACATCTGGTCTACCGCAATATTTAGGCGCTCTCCCCAAACAGCCTCTGCCGTTTCTGATTTGCCATTTCTTTTGCTCAGCCTGTTTCCTCTTCTGGATTGTTTCTCTCCCTTTCCCTGTCTGGTCCGTATTCCCTCTTCACATCTGAGCCCAGTTGGCTCTCTGTCACAGAAGCATTGCCTGGACCTCTGAGCTGGGTTTAGTGCTCATTGTTCCTGACACTTCCCTGCCTCTCTCTTTATCCCCTTCCACACATAATACTTTTAATGGGTCTGTTTCTGGGCCCAAGTCTGTACTGAGTGTTGGGGACAAAATCGTTTCTAGACAGAAAAGGTTCCTGTCCCATTGTCTCTTAATGGGGACAGACCGAAGGTAAGTAAATGAACAAACCTAACAGCCACAGATCGAGCTAAATGATAATGATGAAAATGTATAGGGTGATGTGATATAATGCTTTGGATTGTGTCTTGTGCTCTATAATGATGAATATATTTGTACAGTTGTATTTTATATTATCCATCCTCCACTAGACTGTGAGTCCCACAGGGACAGTGCTGGTATCAATCAATCTGGTATCTTTAGTGCCTAGAATAGAAGAGGTGAGTATTTTATTGAATGTAACTGCAGGAAAGAGTGAATTCCATTGTGCCGAGTTGTAACATTGGAGTAAAATGCATCAGTACTAACTGCATTTAGAGAGATGTGTAGGTATATGCGGAGTGGGACGGTGTTTATAGTCAGAGCAGGGAGAGACCACCGTGGCACAGCCCATCACAAACTGCTTCTGTACAGCTGAGCTACACAGAGTGGTAGGATTTGGCAAGGTCATCAGTAGAGGAGATGTTGTTCCAGAGGGACTCGCTGTGATTGGAAAAGGGAAGGAGGTATTAGGGAGATGCTGATCCAGGTGAAGCTTCACTGAGTATAGTGAAGGGGATCTGGGGCTGACCAGTCCTCCACCTTTTGATGATGTTGGAGTTTGGAGGATTATAGCCCAAATCAGGAATGCCTTTGGGCCTGGTAATTTCTTCGGCATGAAGCTGATGGCACTTGCTGAGATGCCAGATGTGGGGGGTGGGGAGCTTGTGTAGGTGCAGTGGTCACTGACTGCTCACATCCCATATGCTGAGGCATTTGCATCCTCCTTTGCAATGTCTGCTCTTCCTGGCTTGGAAGTGCCTCTTCCTGCAGGAACCAGTGGCTTCCTGGAGCAGGTGTGTGCTGGGAGCCTGTGGGTGGCCAGGGATGGGTCCCGCCTGGTCCCTTTCCATTTTGGGCCATTCTCTGTCTTGGTGTTTGGTGGTCCCCTTGTCTTTTTTTTTCGGCTAGTTTTCTGGCTAGTGGTCCCAATCGATAAAGGGAACTTTTTAGTGCCCATGTGCCTTGCGTGACTGTAGTAAATCCGGATGGTCTGAATCAAACTGATAACAAATGAAGCGCTATGTTGGGTTGTACTGTCATGAATTTTTTCCCCTTTTATTATTTCTGATTCAAGGTAGTTGGCATAACGGAAGGAGCACAGGCTTGGAGTTGGATGGACTTGAGTTCACAATGCAGTTTACTGCATTTTGGAAAATGCTTTAGCTCCTCTGAGCCTCAGTTTTGTTATCTGGAGCATGGAAAGGGGAGGAGGCTGTGGGGAAAGAGATGCTGGATGGAGAGCACCCAGCCTGTGTGTGCCTGGTGCAGAATGGATGCCCAGAGTATGTTTTTGTGGTGGTGGTTATGTTTTTCCTTGCACGGAAAACATCCTTGTTTCTGAGTTAAGATTTGTTGATTCTCCTTCTCTGGCAAACAGGTAATGTTGTACAGAGAAGCATTTAAATCTAGACGGGGATTGCTACTGAAGGGAGCTCTCAAAAGCCTAATATCTTACAAAAAATTTTACACGTAATCCATTTCTCCTTCTTTCCTGAGGACGCTCCTTCCTGCGGCAGATTCTGAAATGGGGGCATCCTTGTAGATAATAAGTTCTTCCAGAAGTAGAATCAGAGGGGAATTTTCAGTGCCTGTCAGAAGGGTGAGGAAGAAAAGACAAGATCAGAGGAGGGAAGCTTGATCATTTAAATCTTTGAATGTGAAGAGAAAAGAGGTACTTTTCTAAAGTACAGACCCAGTATTTACTTATTTATTTTTTTAAAGATTTTATTTATTTGACAGAGAGAGACATAGCGAGAGAGGGAACACAAGCAGGGGGAGTGGGAGAGGGAGAAGCAGGCTTCCCATGGAGCAGGGAGCCTGATTGGGGGCTCGATCCTAGGACCCTGGGATCATGACCTGAGCTGAAGGCAGACGCCCAACGACTGAGCCACCCAGGTGCCCCGAGACCCAGTATTTAGCACTCAAGTTTCACCTCTACAGATTTTAAAATTCAGCTCATTTTTTTTAATTCCTCTGTAATTTCAATACTTTATTTTATTTTATATTTTTTAAAGATTTTATTTATTTGACAGAGACCCAGTGAGAGAGGGAACACAAGCAGGGGGGGAGTGGGAGAGGGAGAAGCAGGCTTCCCACTGAGCAGGGAGCCCAGCGTGGGGCTCCATCCCAGGACCCTGGGATCATGACCTGAGCTGAAGGCAGATGCTTAATGGCTGAGCCACCCAGGCGCCCCTGTATTCCAATACTTTAAAAAAAACGAAAAGCTCTGTTTGATTCCCTGAACAAATACTCCTTGAGCACCCACTGTGTGAGAGGCTTCTAGGGGGTGGGCTGGGTGCTGGAAGGCCAGGACGTTCTGGGCTCAGTCTCCTCACTGGGTTCTGGATTTGGGGGAGGGTGATGATTGGGCCGTGAGGCGGGTGATGCAACCCTCTGTGGGCCGTGGAGAAGCTGAGGGTGCATATGATTTGGACCCACGGTAATTCCAGCTGCGGTCTCGGAGGAAAGGTGGGTGAAGGGCAGAGCCCGTATTCGGACCTGGATGAGAGAGAGGGAGAATAGCTTGGCTGGGAGGCTGGGTGTGGGGGGAGGATGGTACAAGATAGATGGAGGCCGACCACCAAGGCTTTGGACACCATATGTGGAGTCTGGACTTGATTCAGAAGGCAGCGGACAGTTACTGTGAACGGGTTCAGGCTATTGTCCTTTCTTCTGGGGGCCTCTCTCAGGACCCTTGTGATGTTCCTGCCTGGCCCACCCCCTGCACCTCCCCTTACCTTACGTCCTTCCCCCCACCCCCCCTCCCCAGCAAGGTTTGTGCATCCCTGGGGTTAATGTCTCATGTTACTCAGAAGCCATTCATGCTCCCCATTTCTTATCGTATAAAGTGCAGACTCCATAGCTGACATTTAGCCCCATGTGTCTGCTGACCCTCCCTTGTGTTGGCTCCGCAGATCCTTGTGGTCACCCTTTGCTGCGAAGTAACAGAATTGTCTGCCGTCCCCTGAAGATGCCTTGATGTTTCCTACCCATGACAGTTCCTGCAGACTGGTGTGCATGCTCCTGTGCTCCGGGAACAGCCCCCAGCCCCCAGGGAACCTTCCCTGACTCCTCTCTCCTTGCTCCAACCTCCGGTTGGCATCGATTTCTCTCTCTCCTATGAGTTCCATTCCCAGGACTCTTTCCTGAATCTGTTATCTAACAGTTATCTGTTTGAGATGTCGGAGGATCTTTCATCTCTGCCTCCCCTTGCTTGACATTTAGTAGGCATCCAGTAGTGTTTGTTGGGTTAAGGTGAACATGCCTGTCTCATTGGGGGCTTATTGTAAAGGAATATTGGTCCCTCAGCAACACTGGCTTTGTTGCATGTGTCTAAATTCTGGCAGGTGTAGAGAGTTTAGGTTTTACCTCCTTTTCGTTAAGCTGTAGCCCCTCAGAGATGATTTGAGTGTTCTTATTTTATCTCTGCTTCCCTCCATCTGATGGGAGCAGATTAATAAGCAGTTTGGCTGTACATGAGAACTTTCAGCTTGTCCTTATTAACAGAAAATTGGATTTTATGCAGCTTTGCCCCTTCATGGAGGGGCTGCCCAGCAGAGGCAGATTCCTGTGCCCTCTGCCAGCCCCTCAGGCAAAGAGGGTGTTGGTTGAAGAATCTCCACGTGGTAGGACCAAGAAACCCACAGACTGGTGATGGGAGGAAGGTTCCTGAGCACAGGATGGGCCTGATTCCCTCTTGTTAACATAAAGAACTCCTGCTCTTTACCTGTCAGTACACTCTTACCTAGTCTCATCCCTGCTGGGTTTTCTCCTTGATGTGTGGGAGAGAGAGGAGTAGAGAGAAGGGTGGGTGTTCCCCATGAAAGCTGAGTCAGATCTCATGGTGGGGAATAGGTTTTGAGTGAGATGTTTCTCAGCCACAAACCAGGGAGTTTACATGTGACTGTTTGCTTACCCACTGCTTTGTGGCCCAGGCTGCAGAGGTTCAGGGAAGTAACAGGTGTGGTTTCTTTCCCCTGAGAAAGCCAGGCTGACCTACAGCTTCAACAGAGATGATGCACTATGTATTTAACAAAGGGGAGAGGCATCGGTCAAGCCAAAGAGACTACCAGTTACATACAACCAGGACGGTTGGCCCTATTTGTGTGTCCTGCCTGAAAATCGGTCCTGGCATTACATTTAACAAAGTGTTTCCATGCGTGTGACTGTCTCTTGTCCAAGAGTTTCCATGTGATGAATGTCTCTTGTTAGCATAGCCAAAAATTGCTGGGAGACTCTCTAGCCTTGGAGTGACCAGGGAAGGCTCCCTGGACGAGGTGGATTTGAGCTGAGCTTTGAACAGAAGGGTCATGTTTTGAACTGACCCAAACCTGTTTGGTGGTTCAACAAAAATCAAATTCTTTGGTTTTATTCTTGGTGGATTCCAGCAGTTGGAGGTGTGTAGGAATTAAATGTCTTCCTGTCCCACAACTGTGCTGCCAAGTGGTATGTTATAAGGAAAGAATCTAGATCTGAATTGTGCCTTGCATGCAAAACTTATTAGTAGGCAGGTACAAAACTTGCCATCAAACCTGTTCCTGGAAGCTCGAGAAGCCTCTGTTCTCTGTCTTTAGGTACTCCAACCAGCACTTTGCAGGAAGATTTATCTGAGGCTGAGGCAGTCCTACCCTGCGGTTGAGAGCAGACGCTCTGCTAGTCTCATCAGGGATAGTCTTAGGAAGTAAAGGGACACAGAACCAAAGGAGGGCTAGACTTAGAGTGATTCTCCCTGAAGCTCTGGGTGCCGGCTCAAGGGACCCGTGCCTCATCCTTACAAGAGTTTTAGAGCCTGAGAAAATTGCCAACCCCCCACATGTATTGAACACCACTTCCTTCATTTGTAAATTATTTATTTCTAACATTGCTTATGCTAATAAACTCAGGTTCAGCTTTAGATACCAATATTGGAATTATTCGAATTACAGCCCTCTGGGACTGCGTTTCCGATTAGCACGTTCAAGTGCTAACTTTTTCCTTAATTTATACAACATACCTTATATAACTATTCTAACAGAATTTGGAAAGAAGCAGCAGAGATCAGCCCAGGCAGTTTGAACTGTGTCTTGGAGCTGAAATTTGGGGAAAGATGCGGGGAGGAGGGGAAACCCTTCTTTCTCTCAGTACATCCCCTAAAAGTAGTGTCTGTCAGCATTCCTTAAAAGGTTAATCATAACATGACAGGTGATATAAGTCTCTGTTAAAAAGAAGTTAGAAGCAGCTGCAGGGTAGGAGTGAGATCATGGGGCCTGTGGGAGATGTGAAGATGCTGTTCCAGGTGGGTGAGGGCTAGTTAGTTCATCATAGTTATGCTCCCAGTTTCATGACAGCAAATCTCAAACCAAATCTATCAGGCATAGTCACTTATTAGGCAGGCGGTAGAAACCAGACCTGTGAGCCCAAGAAAATTCCTTGCATAGAAGTTTCCTTTCAGAAATTGGACCTTACGGAAATTCAGTCGTGTGGTGGCATGCAGGCCCTTAAAATCTAGTCTCAGACATGACCTAAGATATATATTGTTAACATTTTCAGACTCTTTACCCTTACTGGACAAGTGTGTCAGATTATTTCAAGCAATGTTTCCAACTAGAGTCATGCGAACTCAAAAGCTTCATTAATGACTGTGGATTATCACTGACTAAAATTGCTTACAATAATAGCAGCATAAAAACTGTATTAAAAGTATATGTCTTCATTCTTAAAATTAGGTCTTTCTTTACAACAACTAATATAGCCTTGCCCAAAGCAAGGCCTCAAAAAATTAGCGAGACTCAGAATTGTTTCTCTCCACGGAAATCTTTAGTAAAAGGCGAAAGATTTATGCGTTTTGAAGAGAAACCAGAGTATGAATGTAATTGCCCCAATCTCACTACTCCAGTAACTACAACTCCTAGTTCACTGAAGGTGGCTCTTTAGCCATGAGTGCTACTCCCTACTTAGTTTGCACAAGAAACTCTGTAAGTAAACTTCTCATAGTTAGAAATGTCCAGTTAGAAGAAATATTCTTTTAAAATTTGAAAAGATAGTACTCTATGCAGGGTACTATGGGTATGCAAATGAGAAGTCTGAGTCATCCACTTTGAGAGTCTTCAAAGACCTTTGTATTCACAGCTGCTTCTGGAGCCACCATTAGGGGGCGAAGCAGAAGGCTGTCTGTCTCTGTACCCCATCCTGGTTCAACCACAGAAATTCCAGTTTTACCCCTTTTGTATATTGGGACTTGGAGTACAGTCCCATTCCTTTCCTTTGCAATCCTCTAACCACCAACACAAGCAAGACACAGAACCACAAAGAACCCCCTCTTGCTGCTTCTTTCTAGACGCACATGTCCTGCTCTCCGCATCCGTAACCCATGGAAGCCACTGTTGTGTTCCATCTCATAATTTTGTCATTTGGAGAATGTTGTACAAATGGAATCATATAGCATGTAATCTTTTGAGACTGGCTTTTGTTTTGTTTTGTTTTTCTTCCCCACTCAGCATAATGGCCTTGAGGTCCATCGAGTTGTGTGTATCAGTAGTTCATTCCTTTTCATTGCAGGGTCCGCGACACAGATGGACCACAGCTTGTTTAACTGTTCCATTGTTTTTTTTTTTTTTTAAAGATTTTATTTATTTAATTGACAGAGAGAGAGACAGAGAGAGAGGGAACACAAGCAGGGGGAGTGGGAGAGGGAGAAGCAGGCTTCCCGCGGAGCAGGGAGCCCGATGTGGGACCCGATCCCAGGACCCTGGGATCATGACCTGAGCCGAAGGCAGACGCCTAACGACTGAGCCACCCAGGCGCCCAACCGTTCCATTGTTGAAGGGCATTTTGGTTGTTTCTAGTTTTTGGCTATTATGAATACATCTGATACGAATATTTGTATACAGGTTTTGTTTGGACACAAGTTTTCATTTCTCAGGGATAAATACCCAGGAGCTTGATTGTTGGATGGTATGATAAGTATATGTTTAATTTTACAAAGAGCTGTCCAAACTGTTTTTTTCAGAATGGCTCTACCATTTTACATTCCTGTTAGCAATGCATGAGATGCTTAGTTTGTCTGCATACTTGCCAGCATCTGGTATTATCAACACTCAAATTTTAGCTTTTCTGATAGATGTGCAGTGATATCTCCTGGTTTAATTTGCATTTCCCTGACAGTGATATTGAATATCTTTTCATGCACTTCTTTGTCATCTGTATATTCTTTTCAGTGAAGTACTGTTCATGTCTTTTGCCAGTTTTCTCCCTGGATTGTTTTGTCTTTACTGTTGAGTTTAGAGAGTTCTTTATATAGTCTAGATACTAGTCCTTTGTCAGATAGGTGATTTGCAAATATTTTTTTCCTGTCAGTAGCTTGCTTTTCATCCTCTTAGGGTCTTTCACAGAAATTCAGTTTATTGATTTTTTTTTTCCTCTTATGGATTATGCTTTTGGTATCATTTCTAAGAACTCTTGGCCTAGTTGTATGGCCCAAAGATTTTCCATTTTTTTCCCAAAAGTTTCATAGTTTTGCATTTTACATTTAAATCCATGAACCATTTTGAGTTAAATTTTTTAAAGGTTTTATTTTTAAGTAATCTCTATACCTAATTTGGGGCTTGAACTTACAACCCCAAGATCAAAGAGTCACACACTCTACCAACTGAGCCACCCAGGCACCCCAAGTTAATTTTTGTATTACCGAGGTAGAGGTTTATTTATTATTTTTTTGCTATGGATGTCCAGTTGCTACAGCACCATTTGTTGAAAAGACTATTCTTCTTCCATTGAATTGTTTTTGTACCTTTGTCAAAAATCAATTGGCCAGACTAGTATGGCTCTATTTCTGGGTTCTCATTTCTGTTCCATTGATCTGTGTAGCTGTCTCTCCATGAATGCCACGTTCTCTTGATTACTGGTAAGTCTTAACATCAGGTTATATAATCTTTCTAGTTTTATTCTTTTTCAAAATTGTTTTAGCTTGGGGCGCCTGGGTGGCTAAATGACTATTTTAGTGTCTGCCTTCGGCTCAGGTCATGGTCCCAGGGTCCTGGGATTGAGCCCCACGTCAGGGCTTCCTGCTGAGTGGGAAGTCTGCTTCTCCCTCTCCCACTCCCCCTGCTTGTGTTTCTGCTCTCGCTGTGTCTCTGTCAAATAAATAAATAAAATATTAAAAGAAATTGTTTTAGCTCATTTAGTTCCTTTGCTTTTCCATATACATTTGAGAACAGGCTTTTCTGTATCTACAAAACATTTTGCTGGGATTTTGATAGGCATTCTATTAAAATGTTAGATCAATTTGGGGGAAATTGATGTTTTTACTATGTTGAATCTTCCAGCCCACGAAGGCGGCAGATCTTTCTGTTTACCTCTTTATTTCTTTCATTAGTGTTTTGTAGTTTTTAGCATACAGATTTCATACATGTTTTGTTAGATTTATACCTATGTATTCTATTTTATTTTTCTTAACATTTAAATTTATTTATTTATTTATTTATTTTAAGCAAACTCTTTGCCACTTGTGGGGCTTGAACTCACGACTCCAAGATCGAGACTTGCATGTTGTGCTGACTGAGCCAGCTAGGCACTCCTAAGTATTTTATTTTTTGAGCAATTATAAATGGTCTTACAGTTTTAATTTCAATTTCCACATGTTAGCTGCTAGTATATAGAAGTATAATTGACTTTTATATTTTGATCTTGTATCCTATGACTTTTCTAAACTCATTTATTACAGGAAGTATTTTTTCCCCCTTTTTTGATAGATTTGTTGAGATTTTCTACATAGACAACCATGTCATCTACAAATCAGGACAGTTTTATTTCTTCATTTTCAATCTGTGTAACTTGCATTTTCTTATTGTACTGGCTAGGATTCCCAGTATTGTGTTGAATAAGAGTGATGAGAGTATACGTCCTTGTCTTTTTCTTATTCTTAACTATTCAGCTTCACCACTAAGTTTGATGTTTCTGTATATTTTTTGTGGATGTTCTTTATCAAGTTGAGGATGTTCCTCTCTATTCGTAGTTTTTTAAGAGTTTTTATGAATGAGTATTGAATTTTGTCAGATAATTTTTCCGCATCAATTGATATGATCATGGGATTTTTCTTTTTTTTTTTTTTTAAAGATTTTATTTATTCACTCGAGAAACAGAGATACAGAGAGAGAGAGCATGAGCAGGCGGAGAGGCAGAGGGAGAGGGAGAAGCAGGCTCCCCATTGAGCCAGGAGCCAGATGTGGGGCTCGATCCCAGGACCCTGGGATCATGACCTGAGCCGAAGGCAGATGCCCAACCATCTGAGCCACCCAGGCGCCCCGATCATGGGATTTTTCTTAAAAAGAATATGTTGATGTGGGATGCCTGGGTGGCTCAGTTGGTTAAGCGTCTGACTTCAGCTCAGGTCTCATCAGGCTCCTTGCTCAGTGGGGAGCCTGCTTCCCCCTCTGCTGGCTGCTCCCCCTGCTTGTGCTCTCTGACAAATAAATAAAATCTTAAAAAAAAAAAAGAATATATTAATATGGTGAGTTACTTTGATTAACTTTTCAATTTTGAACCAGCCTTATATCCCTGGGATAAACCCACTTGGTTGTGGTGTATAATGTTTTTTTTCACATTGCTGGAGTCCATTTGTTAATATTCTGTTGAGAATTTTGGTGATTAAGTTCACGAGGGATATTGGACTCTAGTTCTCTCTCTCTCTCTCCCTCCCCCCCCTTTTTTTGGTACTGTCCGATTTTGAGCAGTTATGTGTAGTCTTGTATTTTTAACTTCAAATTTCATGTGTTCATTGCTAGACTTATAAAATGAGTTAGTGTTTCCCTCTTAGAACATCTTCAGGTGTCTAATAAAATTCTTCAGTGAACTACTTGGGACTGGAGATTTTCTTTTTTTTTTTTATTTTTTTTAAATCTAGATTTTATTTATTTATTTGAGAGAGAGAGAATGAGAGAGAGAGAGCACGAGAGGGAAGAGGGTCAGAGGGAGAAGCAGGCTCCCTGCTGAGCAGGGAGCCCGATGTGGGACTCGATCCCGGGACTCCAGGATCATGACCTGAGCCGAAGGCAGTCGCTTAACCAACTGAGCCACCCAGGCGCCCTGGAGATTTTCTTTAAGGGTGTTTTAAGCTATGAATTTGATTTTTTTTGGTGGTTAAAATGATGTATTTTGTATTGGGTGAGTTCTGGTAGTTTGTGCTTTTCAAGGAATTAGTCCATTTTATCTAAGTTGTCAAATTTATGTATATAGAGTTCTTCATAGGATCCCTTATTAGCCTCAATGTCTGTGGAGCTTGATGATATCCCGTTTCATTCCTGTTATCCGTAATTTGGGTTGTCTTCTCTTTTATCCCTTTTTTTTTTTTTTTTTAAAGATTTTATTTATTTGACAGAGACAGAGCACAAGCAGGAGGAAGTGGCAGGCAGAGGGAAAGGGAGAAGGAGGCTTCCCGCTGAGCAGGGAGCCCAATGTGGGGTCCCAGGATCCTGGGACCACGACCTGAGTCGAAGGCAGATGCTTAACCGACTGAGCCACCCAGGTGCCCTTCTCTTTTATTCTTTGTCCATCTGCTAGAGATTTGTGAACTTGATTTTTACAAAGAACCAGCTTTTCGTTCCACTGATTTTTCTCTATTCTGTTTTCTGTTTTATTGATTTCTTATCTATATTTCCTTCTTCGTACTTGTTCTGAGTTTATTTTGCTCATTTTCTAGTTTCTTGAGGTGGTAGCTTAGAGTTTTGAGACTTTGACTCTTTCTAATATACATATGTAGTATTATAAATATTTTTCCAGCACTGCATTAGCTGCATCCTACATATTTTGATAAATCGTACTTTCATTTTTATTCAGTTCTATATTTTTATTTCCCTCAAGACTTCCCC